AAATCTAGAGCTTTTCCAACTTTCTACATTTCTGTATTTGGGTACCTCTCCTCTGTTTCTCTTTTTTCTGTTTCTTTTGTCAGTTCAGCTTTTTCACAGTTTTACTTATCAACTTTATATGAGTAACTTTCAGATTCATTTCTCTGATATTAACTTTTTGAAAGACCCATATCAGCACTTCTAACTGGTTTCTGGATATCATTCACTCACTCACTCATTCATTCATTTATATTCATCATGAACCTACTAAGAGATAGCTACTACTCTAAAGCTATGAAAACAGCAGTGAAGAAAACAAAGACCCTGCAGAGCTTACACTCTAGTAAGAGAAGGGAACAAGCAAATGAAAAAGACATCCAGTGGTCATAAGTACTATGGAGAAAAAGCAAATCAAATAAGAGGATAGAGAGTGATGGGAAATGTAGCCACAAATTTAGATCAATAATCGGTGAAGTGTCTATGTACAATGACAATCAGAAATCCAAAGGAAGTTAGAATGAAAACCACTTTCATGTTTGGGGGCAAAGTGTTCTTACAGAGGTAACAGTCTGAGGTCCTGGGGACAAATGTGATGGGAGTAAAGTGAGCAGAAAACATGCTCTCTCTTTCTTTCTTATCTCTCTTAATATAGAGAAACAACACAGATGTCCTTGATATTGAGAGAGATTGAGAGAGAGGGAGTGGGGAGAAAGAGAGAAAGACCTGGAGAAAGAGTTATAATGATACCTCTTTGACCTAACTTTTCAGATATCTATACGAATGGTAAGCTCACAAAGGTGTCATATTCATATATTCATGTGAATATGACATGAATGTATGTGTATATTGTATATATACTGACCTATATGTATATTGTATATATACTGACCTCACTGTTCACTATACTTGTGAATAGTGAGGTCAGTATATATACAATATACATATAGTTCATACAATATACAGTATACATGTGTATACAAACAATATACACACAGTATTATGCTGTATACATATACACATTAATATGAGTATATTGAATATAGTATATATTATGGTATGCATATCATATGATATTATAATCTTACCACCTCTTACACACACACACACACACAGAGTACATATAGAAATATCAGGTCAAAGAGATTTTAGGGTCTCATATCACAAAGCACCTTGTGGGCTATAGGAAGGATCTTGACCTTGACATTTTCTCCAAATTAAAGAAGAAGGTATAGGAGAGTTTTAAGCAGAGAAATACAATGAATGACTTATACTTGCAAAGGAACACTTTGGCTGCTTTGTGAAGAAATGTCTGAATGTTCCTAGGTATGAAAGCAGTTAGACCTGTTAAGAATGTGACATATTTGGACTGCAGAGAAGACTAAGTTAAAAAAAAAAAAAAGAATGTGACATAAAATTTAATAATGGAAAAAAAGATGAGAGCTTGTACAGAAGTGGCAATGATGAAGGCTTTAAAAAGTGGTAAGATTCAGGATCTATTTTAGAGGAAGTCCTGAGAGAATTTCCTGAAAGACCTGACTTTGGTATGAAAGAGAGTAGACAAGAATGACTGGGCCATAGAAGTTGGTTGAATGGAGTTTCCATTCAACATGAAGCAAAAGACTGGGTTGCACAGGTTTTGAAGGATGGGGATATAAAGAGTATGGCCATGAACATGCTAAATATGAAATGTCTAATTGGCATATGAGGGGAAATATTGATTATGTATTTAGATATGTAAGGCTGGACTTCAAAGATGAAATGAAGCAAACTAAAACATGTGGTTTGTTAACAAACATATATTTAAATAAAAGTTCCCAGACAGAATGAGCTCTGTAAAGAGTAAATATAGATAAAGAAGAGAAGTTCAGATGTGAGGGCCGAACTCTGGGACAATCCAAAGTTTAAAGGTGAGGAAGATGGGAAGAGATTAGAAAGAGGGACTGAAATACAGAACAGTAAGTGCAGGTTTCAACAGAGAATGAACAAGTACTTCTAAAAAGACTGGGAAATTGACCATTGAGTTTATCAATATGAAAGTCACTATTTTTCTTGACAGGAAATTAAAAGGCTAGTGCAGTGGTGAACGCGGGCTTCCTTAGGAGGTGTTCAGAGAGAACAGAATAAGAGGTGGAGATAGGAAGAAGAACAACTTTTTCATGAAGTTTTGTTGTACAAGGGAGGTGAGTAAAGGGGGAGAGCTTGGTGTTCACTGGATGGAATATGAGTCCAGAGGTGCCATTTTTTTAAGGATAAGGAGAAATAATACAGTATTTTCATTCTTATGGGACCAATTGATAAAGAGGGCAAAGCTGACGCAAGAGAGAGGGTAACCATCGGTGTGATAGCCTTGTGTCCTTGCCTATGTGGGAAGGTTGGGATTGAGGACATTGGTTTTAAGGAGGCAACACTGATGCAACAATCATTCTAGCAGAACAAAAAGCTAAGTGAACACAGATATAAGCATATGATTAATTCAATGATGAAAAAGTGTGAAGTTCTCCTTCATTACTTTTAATTTCTCAGTGAAGTAAGTGGATTCTTGGCTGACAGTGGGGAGGGAGAGGAGATTTGGAGATTTGAGGAGAAAAGAGTATCTGTAAAATAATTAAGAGAGCAGCTATTGAAAGTTTTTGACAGAAACACAGAATTAGAAATAACACTATCCAGGATATAAATACATAAGAACATACACACACACACACATGCCCTTGAAACAAGAGTTTCAGGAGATACTACCCTTCCTTCAGTTACTGTCACTTCAATTCTACTCTATTTTATTCATAAAACATGAGTAGTGACTCAGTAAACAATTTCTTGACACACTAACGGGCTGCGATATGCAATTTGAAAACCATTCATCTAGAAAACTTGAAGAGATTTTTGTATAGAAATATAACAGGATTCCTGAGCAGCAAAGTAGGCCTACTTAGAATGTGAAGTGAGAATGATCAACATAATCAACTAAAATCATTATGCATTCCCCCATCTCTAATTATTCCTCCTGCTGAGATCTCTATTCTCAAGTCTCCTATTCTTTAGCAACTCAAATTTCAGACCCATCACTTTTTCTCCCATACATCATTTCTTTAGCTTCATTCATTAAATTGATTGCAAAATTAAAATGATTCTGCCTCCAAACTCTCACCAGAATCCCTTTCTTTGTATTTCCATTGGCTTTACCACAATTGTGGCCTTTATTGCTTTTCTCTCCATCTTATATTTTGTTTTTCTTGTCTTATTATAATAATAATGGCTGTTCATTATAACAAATATATTTTTTAAAAGACAAGTAATTAAAGAAAATAACCACAATCTCACTATTTAAAAGAATTTTCTAGCTTCGTTTGTTGGCATATATACTTTGTCATTTTATATACATATGTAATATGATTTGTCTTATAATTGTACATATAGAATTATATAATCCCATCTTGTAGTATTCCTCATTTTTAACATAACACATTATGAATTTCTATCCACATCATAAGGTGTTTGGCAAAATTATATTTAACAATAGCTACAGAGTGTGCTGTGTATTAGTCTAAAACACTGAGTGTTCAGTGTTTTAATCTAAACCATTTTGTTGAATTCGTGCAGTAATATGCATGTACTTCTTAGGTCTTGGACTGCAGGGTGCACAATTTGCCAAGAACCTCAGCTGCTGTGCTCTGAAATTGATTCATTACTTGGTTTGCTGCAAGTCCATACTTCCCGGTCAATACTTAAATACAGTAAAGGTACTTAGGCTCATTTCTGGGAGATGTGGGATTCCTCTGACTAGTAACTTTGGCTTGAGATCTCCCTGACAGCCTTGCAGACTTTTCCAAAGAACTATGCACAACTTCCTTTCTTCATACTCTGGGGATCAGATTTGCATGAAGTCCGAAGGCTCTCCCTGCTTCTCCCACTTGCCCCTTTTCCATTTTCTCTGAGAGGTTTATTTCCCCTAATTTCTTGTACACTTAATCCCATTTAGGCATCTATGTCTCAGAAAACCCAAACTAACAGAGATATTTAGATTGTTTTCGGATTCTTATTCTGTATAACCAGACTAAGCTTCTGAATGCTCAACTTTGAGCACAGTTTTCTTTAGTCAAGAGCCTTTGAAGGCCTTGCCTTTGTCCGCTGAATTAAGCCCAAACCCGTCTCCCCTCTCTACTCTGCCCTTGCCCATGTTTCCAATCACCCCTCCGTGTTCTAGCCTACTCCAGTGCTGGACTCTCCCACTCCTCACTTTATGGCTAAAGAAAACATCTACCTGGCTAGATGCCTTCTTTATTCTGGATCCCTTCTTGACTTTTTTTAAACTCCCATGTTCTTTTCTCTCCATTTTAAAGACTATAGAAAGGTGTTTTATGCAGTGTTTTCACTCTTCTTGGTAGGTTAAAAGAGAGACTCTGTGGTGAGGGATATAGAACATGGAATCAGATCTGCTTTGTTATATTACCAACATTAAAAGAACAAAACACTGAGATTGCATATGTTTGGAAAACACTGAGCTGAACAAAAATAATTCAAGCATTTATACTTATTTTTAATCGCAAAACTTCCCAGAGCCCTTAAAATGTTAATACATGCTGTGATTTTCCAGGGCCAGCACTGATAACTTATGTAGTTTATCCCAAATTTGACTACGAATTCTTTTATAAAACAATCTCCAGACAGTACCGCTTCTTGGAACACACAGGGAAAAGCCAAAGCTCTCATAGCATTTTGCATGTTTGATTTTCACAGTACTAAATATTCTTCACTTACGGTTATTTGTATATTTTTATCCATTTTCCCACTTTAGCATTTTGCATAAGGTATTGAAAATAGCAGGCACTTGTTGAATTAAAAATCATGGAATTTAAGTGTAGGATCATGTTCTGATAATACTTGGCAATTGGAGAAAGTTAGTTTGCACGGTCTTTCAGTAGCTTTTTGGAGTCCTTTTCATACCATAGTTACTTGGGCTTTGAGGCTGGGAAAATAAGTATTTTGTTGCTTACAAAAAGCCCTTATTAAACGTGGGTGAAACATTTTTTTCTAAAAATCACTTTATTGGAGGAGTAGTATGACAGAAAAAATATAAAGATGGTGGTGATTTTAAGGACAAGAAAGCAGGAGACATCTGATTCTGGTCTACCCACTGACCTGGGAGGAAGGCAGTCCCTGGCTTAGTTCTGCTTGTTTTCATTTCCAAGGGTATGTTTATCAAAAAGGTACTCCGCCAGGCCAGCATCCGGGGCCCCCAGCTTCACTAGGTTGTGCACGTGGTCAGCTAGTTCTTTGATAGACTTCACCTGCTCATTCAGGTAATAGGTTTCCAGGAAGTCGCACAAATGGGGGTCACCTTTGTCTGAGGCCAGTGTGTGCAATTCCAGCAACGACTGGTTCACATTCTTTTCCAAGCTCAGAGCACACTCCATGGCATGCAGACCGCTTTCCCAGTCGTCCTGGTCTGGCTTCTTAATGTCCTGCAGGCAGATCCGCCCCCCTCGCTGGTTCTGCAGCCTCATCAGCTTCTCTGCGTGCTCAGTCTCCTCCCGGGACTGGTGAAGGAAATACCTGGCGAAGTTGTTCAAGGCTACATCATCCCGGGAGAAGTAATAGGCCATGGACAAGTACACGTAGGACGCATAGAGCTCGAGGTTGATCTGGCGGTTGATGGCAGCCTCCGAGTCAGGATGGAAATTCTGGCGCACCCGAGAGGGGCCGGCGGTGGGCCCGGTAGGGCAGCGGGAAGAGGCGGCTGCGGCCAGTGGGCGGCAGGGGGCGATCGGCCAGGGGTCCGACGGCCGCCCCGGGGTCCAACGCAGCCGGAGCGCGAAGCAGCGGCGCACGGAGCGTAGAGACGCCGGCGAAGGGCTGACGTGCCTGGAGAGGAGTCTGAAACAGGTCAGCATGGCACAGCCTTCTGGAAGTGGGAAACTGAGGCCCGGCCCTCTCAAAGCGCGGTGAAGCGCTGGGGGCCTCGGGTCTGAACCAGAACGCGGGCCTAGGCAACGACGACTGCATCACAGGACCCTTCTCTTCCAGAGGCGCGAGATTCCACGCGGTGGGCGCCGGGGACCCCCGTGGGGCCCGGCCTAGAGGGAGACCAGCGCGGATGCCCCGTCATGATTCCATGAGCATTCGCCCCCACCGTCAACGAGAGATTTCTGCTCTTTGGCGTTTGTCACTTATTTCACCTGCGTTTAAAAGGCTGCCAGGAGAGTAGGCACTGGGACTTCCCAAAGAAGGGACCAAGCTGTACTCCCCCTTCTTCTCTGACCTTTTCATAAGGACCAAGGGCCGGGCGGGCAACGCAGTGAAAAGGGTGAACCAAAAGTCATCAGCTTACCTGTGAAAGTAAAGGTCCACATCCAAAGCAAATGTACATAAGCTAACTGGTTATTTAACTTTTAAGTATGGAAACAATTGCCAGCATAGTGGACAAATTTTTAAGACTGTTTCTTCTAAAATACATGCATAGTTTATTTTTGAATGTAAAATGTATCTTCATTGTAAGGAAATAGGATACCATAGAAACCCTAGGAGGAATAAACTGCCTCTGAACCCAAAATAAGTTACGTTTCCATCTTCTGATAATGCAGAGATTATATCCTTTTAGAAATGGTTCTTTAAAATTAAACTTTAAATAACATTTAGTGTTAAGATAATATTTATATGAATGTTGTAGGGTACTGAAAAGTTAAGGATGAGCTCACAGAAGAAAATTCAAAACATTCCGAAATCGTCTTCTGCCTGGAGATTACCACTGTTAAAATGTTGATGGTAATGCTCAGAGATTTTTTAAAAAATGAAA